GTTCTGGTATTGTAAAAGGAACAAGGCAGGGATATGGGTCAAAGTCTGTGATAGGGATAAGAAATCGCATAGGGCAAAGGCAACAGACCTGTAGTAGATAATAACATTCAATAAATAAATATCTTTACTGCAATATGGCATGCCACAAAACYGTAGGAATCCTTGTTTTGCTGCCAAAGAAGTTTGTAAAGTCAATATTCCTTTCCTTATAGAGCATTGTCCAGTCCCTGGTGGGGATATATRTTTTATATGTTATATGTTTCWTATCTTGCAGCTGTGGTGTTTAAACAGAAGGAGAGGGTGAGATCTGTCTGCAGGTGGGAGCTGGGATTGCTCTGGGCTCTGTGGGGCTGGCAGGGAATGCTCAAAAGTTTATAAAGACAGGCAAAGGGAAAGAGGGAAATGTGAATACAGAAAAAGAGAAATAAGAATCGAGAGGTGAGTGAGAAAAATCAAGGACCCCTCTCAGAACTTTTAGTTTACAGATCTGGTGGGCTGAAACTGATGCCCAGSAAGTTCCRCCTGAACTTATGACCTGGGCAGTGCCCAGCCCTGCACAGATTGTCCAGAGAGGGGCTGCAGTCTCCTCCCTGGGGATGTTCCAGAGCTGTGTGGGCACAGTCCTGTGCCCTGAGCTCTGGGATGGCCCTGCTGGAGCAGGGAGGTGGCACCAGATCCCTACTGTGCTCCCTTCAGCCTGACCAGTTCTGAGATTCTGTGTTGGACAGTGCTTTGAGAACAAGACGTGTTTGTACCTAAAAAAGAAAGTGACAGAAGCAGCAATGGGATTGTATATTTTGCATTTTTACTATTTCCCTAATGATTATGGAGATTTGGTATGCRTGGGATGCCATCCCCATGGCTGGACTGTGGCACTGGGACCTTTCAGAATTGTCAGTCAGCCCAGAGGGGGTGTGGGAAAGCAGGATCCTGATGGRGATTGGGATTGGTTGTGTCACTGGGGCATTAAAGCCCAGCCTGGCAATCCCAGCTTTGGGCTGTTTCCAGTGAGCTCTGAGAGGAACCATGGAGGTGCAGAGCTTATTCCTGGCTCGGGCTCATCTCTCCCCTTGTGAAATCCTGGCAAACTGGTTTTGAACTTGGTTTCTGGCTGGCTACTATGGCAGTCCCCAGCAGCAGTGGGTGTTGCCAGTGCTGGAGGCTTCTGTGGCTGATTTCTTGTCGTTTCTGCAGCTCTTGTTTCTCTCAAGAAGCTTTCTGAAAGTTGGGGATGACCCTGTGCACTTGAATTACAGAACAAGGAAAGGAAAAAAAACATTTCCTGCACTCATTAAAGTACTAATTGCTGATTCCAGGAGATTATGCCCTACCACTCTGTATCTCTGGTGCTTCCAGTAATCTCTGYTTTCCTTTCACAGCTTATTTCTGGTTTGACATTTTGCAAGTGAGGCTTTGAGGCTGCAAATCCACAGCTGATTTACACAGAGAATTCAACCCCCTTTCTGCAAAGCCCTGGGTGAGAGGTGAGGTGGATAAGCTGGAAGTGCTTGTTGGGGCAGTTCACTATCTCTGGTATCTCTGCAGGCTGATGTCAGAGGTGTTTCTTGTGTTCAGCTGGGGAATATTCAGATTTCAAAGGTACCGATCCTGATGCATAGGGGACACAATGAGCAGAATTTGTCACACTCCCAGTGGCTGAAGGACACTCCATTAACTGGGTGACAGCCTCCTCTGGCTCTTTGAAAAAACAAAGCCAGAGAATCTTAGAAGGAGTGGTGCTAAAGATGACAGCTGTGTCTCCATCACTTGAAAATCTAAGCAAGGCACTGAACCTTCATCTGCAGTTCCCCAGTGCTGGGAAAGCAAATAAGCAAGAACAGAGGCAGCAGCAGTGGAATAGTTTTGAGTGCAGGGAGCAGTGGAATGCTTTTCTACCCAGAAGWCATCAAATGAGGGAATTCCTGCAAGGATTTCAGTGTGCAAAGTCAGTGAGCTCCCCCTTTTCTCTTCCATGTGTGAGAACACTGCAAGGCACAGCCCTCTCCTTCCATGGCACTTGCCCAGAGGCTGCAGCACTTCYAGGGCTGATCCCTCAGCAAAAAGGATGTGGCTTCTTTTAATTTCCACTTTCTGCCACCTTGTAGGTGTTGGTGAACTTATCCCACWGGTCATGGCCAGCTTGTGAACACTCCTGTGAGTGTTGGTGCTTTGGGATATTGCTAAATTGGGATTATTGGGATATAATTAAATATTATTGGGATATAATTTCATGGGTATTGCTGTGATAGGAATTTTGGCTAAGAAGGTGATTTGGAATGGGGAAGATGAATGGAGTAAAAGCCTCACAAGAGGCTGCTCGCTGGGCCTGTGTGGGGCAGTTACATGTAGGTTTTACTCTTCGTTAGTRGAACAGATTGCACAGTGGGCTCCTGAGAGAGCATCTTGTCCAGGGATTTATTATTTCTTTGAGACTGGGCAGTCAGGGCAGCACAGACTTTTCAGGAAAATGCTGAATCCAAGTGCACAAGAGCAGGTAATGAGGGAATAATTTTCTTGTGTCCCTCCCAGTATGGAGAGGAACAAGAGTCTGTGATCCTAGAAGGAGAGTGAAAATCCCCACAAATAAAAATACTCCCTGTAATCACASAATAGTTTGGGTTGGAAGGGACCTCAAAGCCCATCCAGTGCCACCCCTGCTGTGGGCAGGGACACCTTCCACTATCCCAGGGTGCTCCAAATCCCATCCAGCCTGGCCTTGGACACTTCAGGGATCCAGGGGCAGCTCCTGCCTGCTTTTCTGGGATGCTGCTGCTTTTCCTGGCTGTGTGAGGCTGAAGCTCTTGTTCAGTAGCCCACAAAGTTCTTTAATGAGAACTGAGTATTACTAATTTGCATGTCTCTTGAGGTAAGCAGCTAGATTTCTTTTTTTGCTTTATTTCTGATTCTGTTTTATCAGTTGCTTCCTTGAAAAACCCACACAAATTAAAACTTGTGGCAATAGCCAAATATATTTAGTTCCTATAGCTTAATGTGATAGAAGTTCATGCCATTCTTTGCATTRTGCTTGGGAAAAATTGGTGAAAATCCCTTGGATCTTTTATACCCAAAAATATTATTTGGTCGAATTCTCAGGTAGTTATGAGCAGCCAGTTTAATTCCTAGAAGGGGAATAACGTTGATGAAGTTGGAAGTGAAGAATGATGCAACAAATGGAGATAATGTTGACTCATTTTCTGTCTCACTGATAGGTATCTAGGGGGTGTTACATTCTCTGGATGCTATTTTTTCTGTTACATTGTAACACTAATTTTCTGTCTTTCTCCTTTCTACAGCTCCCTTTTAATGAAAAAAAAAAAAAAAAAAGTTGTTTTCCTTTAAAAATGCTCTTTCTAGAAGCAGTTGTGTCAGGCCAGGATGGTGTACACTGGTCTGTTGTTAAAGAAGCCCCTCTTTCTGCCTTTTCTTCATTACAAAGCCCTTGGTGCCGCCTGTTGTTCTTCAGTAAATATATTTCCCTGCTTGCATTGGTCTCTCAGGCACCATTTCCACCGTTCTTCTTTACTGAAGGCACAAGAAGGCAACATAACATGGGAAGGGTGTAATGGTGTGAATTTAAATGTACCAGGATGGACTTTTTCAATGGTTGTCATGTTCAGGCTTCTTGCCCTGCTCTTCCAACCTTACTGTATTGTTTCTATGGCAGAAATTTAATCTGGCCTTAATTGAGTTAAACAATATGAGGAAAAGCACAGATCGACTGATGCTATAAAGTGACCCTGGTATTATTTAGCTGAGCTAATCCTGAATGTAATGCCATGGGTTTAACTGGAATTATACTGGGGATTAGCTCAGTTGATAGCTGATCACACTCTAATAGCTGCCTGGCTTCAGGAGTTGGTTGGACAGGTACTGTTGCCTCCTTCCAGCCCCATTCCTTCACCTCCATGTTTGCCCTGGTTTCCCATGCGGGCCCTGTTCTTCCTTCATCAAGGCCTCATCTGAGGAACTCAGATTGTCCCACAGTCTTTCTTTCCCTGCTCCCTTGGGGTTTCCCATTTTCTATTTTAAGAGTTCATCGGGAGGAGGAATCTTGGGGAGCTTTGCGAAATCCCACCACCTTTTTTCTCTTTCCATCGAGGGTCTCACTCAGGGCTGAGTGAAGACTTCAGTGGTTTTAAACCAGGATGGAGATGAAACAGGAGTATTTTCACAGGCTGCTGGTGATCGAGTGCAGAGCAGATCCCAAATAGRCTCAGCATGTTGGACCTGCAGGGGGCCCTTGCTCTTGTGGGTGTGAGAGGTGAAGTATCTCCTCCTAGAGGAGAAGCAGCACAGTTGGCATAGCCATCCCTGTAGCCCGGGGATGGAGCAGGAGGCACTGGTCCAGGAGGACAAGCACCATGCTGGTGGGACCGTGCACCCTCAGGTGCAGAATTACACAGCCCTGGTGATCATTCCTTCCTCTGTCCATGGCTCATGTGCCATCCCAAGGTTGTACTGTGGTTTCCCTCCACCAGGACATTGCCTGTCCTTTCCTCTGTTTCAGCCGAGTTCTGGGATCTGAGCTTTTCCAGTGGTGAAAAACGGCGGATTTGTGGCAAAGCTGTCAGGCACGGGGTTTCTGTTCCCCTCACTTGCTGCACCTCCTTTGCTGGGAGGCTCCTCCGTGTTTCTTCGCAACTTTTTTGGTATTTTGGCCAAATCCTCCAGGGAGGGACCAGCTTCCAGCACTGCTTAGTGTTAGACATCATCATTACTATTATCATCCTCTGGAGTGTTTTTTCACCCAGTAGTGGGGTGTGAGCTGCCGCTCCTCCTCCCTTTTTTGAGCCCGGACGCGGCGGGAGAGCCCCAAGCTCTTTTTGCGGCGCTTTTCCCCGGGCGGCTCTGTCGGGGCGCGCCGTGCCCGCGCTGCCGCGTCCTTCGGGGGGTGCGCACCGCGTCCCCCCGGCCCGGAGCGCCCTGCCCGCTTCCCCCGGGGGCCGGGCCGGAGGAGGCGGTGGCGGGGGCGGGCGCAGGGCGAGAGGGGCCGGCCCAGGGCCGCGCTACGTGTCCCGCAGCCCTTATAGCCCCGGCGCGCCCGGCCCCGCCAACGCCGCACCATGTCGAGCCACGAGCAGACGGTAGGGACGCGCCGGGGGGCAGGCGGGGGGCCGGGAATGCCTGCGGATCCCTGTCCCCAATTCCCGGCACTCTGCCCCGCGCTGGGATCCCCGGGAATGGGAGCCGGGGCGTTGCCGCTGGGGCGCTAGCCCATCACTTTGGGGTGATGGGGATGGACTCTCTGGCCGGGCGGTCCGCGCATCTCTCCCTCCCGCTGGCGTTCGGCTGCATCCCGCACCTGTCCCGCTGCGGATCCCCGCGGATCCCCTCCAGGCGGGGCCGAAGGTCGAGTCAGCCACAAGTCTGAGCGCCTGTCTCGCTCGGCTTTTTGGGTGTCCCCTGTCCCACCCGGGGAAGGAGTTGGTGAGCCAGCCACGACCAGCGGCAGGCTCTCAGCATCGCTGCGGAGCCAGCGCTGTTACACACAGCAGAGAAAAGTAATCATAGCCAGGGCGCAGCTCAGTTAGAAATTAAAATTGCAAATTGCAGCCGCAGCCAGACATCGTGTTCCGCTTGCCAGCTGCCCTCCCSTACTCCTTGGATTTGGGATGGGAGCTCTGGGTCTCTCTGGCTGCRTGTACGTTTTCCAGGTTTTAAATCAGAACCAGAAGAAATCTTGACACAAGTCTTTTGAGCTGCTTTTTGCTGGTCGATTTGATTTCTTTTTTAGTTTGCCATAAACTTTTCCGATGGATTTGATGCATTTTGAGCACACTAGTAATCTGTCCGGGGAGGAATGCACCCAAAACCACGAGGAACAAAGCGCGCCTGTGCGGCAGGGTGTTCTTGGAGATGCAAAAAAACCTGTGGTTTAAGGATTATTTCAGGCAGGGGAGGTGCGAGCCGCGAGCTGTGTATGGGAGTTCTGTTTATTGCTATGACAGGAGAGAAGCATTACTGAACTTCCAGAATAATCCCTCTCCTTTGCCTCCACCCTGGATTGGAAAAATGACTTTTCTAAGCAAGTTTGTGGCTGACCTTTGTGCCGTGGTTGTCAAAACAGATGCTATCAGCGTGACAGCTGTAGGCGGATTTTTGTGTGCTTATCTGCCAGGTATCTGATGGAGTGAGAAAAGGTGATTTCGCTAATTACAAGAGGTTTGAGGGGTGATGATGAAACGGTGATGCCCCATTAGTGATCTCCCTGCCCTTTGCCAGGAAGATGCAATTGCACAGATTGTAARGGAAGTTCTGTCTCCTAACTGCAACCTCAGCAGCTTCCTGATTTCAGCCATCTCCAGTTAATATCAAAGGCATGGCGTAAGGAATTCCACTTTGTGCAGAGTCCTTTGACCTTTTTTTGCACACACAGATGTTTTTTCATTACACCTTTTGTAGATGCAACAGCCAAAGGTGTTCYGTTTTAAAATGAAGACACAATAGTTTATCCTATTGATGCAGCAATAGGATCATCCTTCTGTCRCTCCTTTCCTAATCCCCATTCTTCCTTCTCCCAGTAACATGAATCCTTATTACTCTTAAAAATCCTTGTTGCTAATAAAACCTCAGTTTTCCCACAGTTTCGTGCTGTGGGTGGTGTGTTAATCTTTCTCCCACAGACCAGGTTTTGTGAGGCTGGATGTTGCCAGCTTTATCCCCTGGCTCAGGGTATGTCAGAGCTGGGTTTTGCAGGTACTATTGATCAGCTGTCCGTTTTTGAAAAGCACAGCAGTGCCAGCTGTTGTGAGATGGACCACTGTGTTATTTGACAGTGYTCCTCATTTTGGAGATGGAATAACTAGAAGCCCAGGATTTAAATCCTAAATTCAGCCTGAGTGCTCTCTGGAGTTTGAGGGTGGTTCAAAGATGCTTTAATTGCACACCCATTTATTAACTGAAGCTTATGGTAAGGTGCAAAGAAGAAAACTTAGTATTTTTTTGCTCCTGTAGCGTTGTCCTTAAAAATGAGCACAGCTCCTTAATCCTGCCCTGTGTGAAGACCAGAGTCCTGGTGTGCAGGAATCTCTCTTTGGCTGTTAATGTGGAAATGATTTGTACYGTCTTCATTTCTGCTCATGGCACTGCGAGAGGCGTGAAGTCCTCTACGTGCCGGGCAGTGTCCTGTTCTCTGCCCTCACTGACAGAAAGCATTTATTCCTGGCCAGCTTCAGGACTGACTTTCTGGGGAGAAGAAGGGTCTGTGCTGCCGACCTTAAAGCCTCAGTGTTCCTCACACAGCCCTCCTGTGTGCCTCAGCAGCCATGCCCGCTGTCAGGAGCAAGCACACCGCGAAGGGATTCCAGGGAGGGAGGTGGAGCTGCGGGCCTGCCCTTGTTTATTGTGTGGACACTTGCACAGCGTGGCTTTCAGGGCTGAGGGGTTCTTTGAGCTCTGCCAAAGCTCAGCTCGCTCCCCGCTCACCTGTGGCTGCTCCGGTATTTCCGCGGCGCTCCCGGCACAGCAGCGGGACACAGATGGGCAGTGTGCTCCAGGGAGCCTTGCACAGAGCCCAGAGCTGCGGGCATGGCTCTGCCCTGCCCTGCCCTGCCCTGCCCTGCCCTGCCCTGCCCTGCCCTGCCAGGGGGCTGCCTGCGTGCCTTTGTGCCCCCAGGGAGGTGCGGAAAGGGCAGCTCTGTGGATCTCTTGGGAATCCTACCCCTGGCCAGCCAAGCTTCTCTTAGGGTGCCCTCGCTGGTGCCATGGGCAGAATGAGAGCCCAGGAGTGAAACTGCCCTTTTCAGCAAGTGTTAGAGCTTTGTCACCTGCCTGGTACCGCAGCCACATCTGCAGGAATCCGCCTGGTGTGGCCCCCCTGTGCTTCCACAGCCCGGCGGGTCCCGGAGCTGCAGCTCCTGCTCGCTCCGTTGTGTTTGTGCAGGGCTTATGTGCAAATGCTGTGGGTTTATTTAAATTTGTTTAAAGAGGAGCAACAAACCCACAAGATCAGATGTCAACCCTCAGGAAAGAGGCTTGTTTCTTTGCCTAAAAACTACTCTGATGTTGAAAAAAAGCAGAGCTGCAGGGTAGAGTTCAGATTGACTGAGCGATAGCCCAGGCAGAGCAGGAACATATGTACATCTTCATCAATTAAATTGCCAAGCAACATAAAATAAAAAAGCTTATTAAAACACCCAAATCATGCATTCATCTCCTCTCACAGTCTTAACCGTACCCTTGAACGTAAAGAGCAAAACAGCTTTAAAGATGTTTATTTTTAAAGCAGTTCTGAGTAGCTCATCCCAGTGACACTGCCCTGGGGACAGGGCAGCAGAGCCCTGAYTTCAGGGAATTGGCGTGGGCTGAGTCACTCAAGAAAGTGAGTTTTATAAAACTCATGTTTTATCCAGCGAGTCACAAGCCTTGTTCTTACAGCATGATTTATTTTGTGGAACATGGTGCCCAATTCATTGCACCGTGACATTCGAAAGTGATTGTTTTCCAGCTGCTCATCACATGCTGGGGATTTCTTCGTTAATTTTCTCTTACTTTGTTTCCTTTATATCTCTTTTCTTCGAAGACCGTGGAAAGGCGAGGTGATTAACTTTCATTGCTTTGTTAAATAAAACTCTCTYCCCTTTTCTCCTAATTTCTTCTGAAGCCCTTTGCTCTTAGAATAACACAGGTAGGGGTTTCCATTCTTGGGCAGCCCCTGCAAGAGCATTTAATCAATCAGCAAATGATGCTGAAGCCCCCACACTACCCAGCCATGTGCACTGCAGCTGCAGCTCAGATTTAGGCCATGGGGATTTTGTTTTTCTGGAAGGTTTTCAAGACAAACACTGGCATACTTGTTGTTTTTTTTCTGTTTTAACTGGGCTGATGTTGATCCTGGAGGGTACCTTTGGAAATGAAAAGCCCTTTCCTATCTGAAACCAGGTGTTTTAGATAAACTTTCATCTGTACATGTCCCCAAAAGATAAGTGGTGTGCGGGGCCTGTGTTAATGCTGAACTTGTACTTTGGTCACACTGCTCGTACACTTTGCCTCTTAAAAATCCATTAAGAGCAAGGCTGTGTAATTCAGGTTGCCATTCATTTGTGAATTTGCTGCTATCGTGAGCAGGGTGTCACAGCTGAAGGGAGTGAGAAATAGCTCCTTAATGGTTTCACAGCTTAATCATTTCCAAGTGAAAATCTACACGGGGTGTATCATTAACGAAAGGAGGGATGCAAAAAAGCCCTGGCAGTGCGTCATGCAGTGGGGTGCTGGGATTTGCCTGTGGGGCTGGTAGTTCCTTGCTAGSACTGCCATCCCAGAGTGGTCTTTGCTCCTTCGCTTACAGCTTGGCTCAGTTACAGCTGTCAAAAGCTTTGTCTGCTGAGTGCGTGCCAAAATATGTTTGGAGAGCAGAGCTTGAGCAAGGAGCTGGTTTACATAGATTTGATTTTTTTTCTTTTTTATTTTTTTTGTTAGATGCAGCTCTTTGTGGGTTGTTGAGATGTGCTTTTCCATGCATTGCTGGGAAACAACCGTCTGTACCTACATTTCCAAGGCTCTCTSTGACCTGGAGGTTTTTGCGGCTTCTCTGGCAGAACAAAATGTTTTCTTCAATATCAAACTGTTTTTTAGCTTYCCATTGTGGTGCAAAAAAAGTGTGGTCCAGTGGGAGGTCATTTTTCAGGCCTGCCCAGCCCTTGTGATGGGAAGATCATTAGGTTGCATTGCCAGTGAGCGTGGGAAGAGGGGAAAAAGTCATTTTAGAGGAGGGGTTTTWTAGTGGGGGTCTGAACTGGGCATGATGCTGGATGAGTCCCTCCAGCCTGGCTGGGGCAGCTCACTGCATCTCTGGAAAGCTGATCTGAGACCCTGGGCATGGTTGGGAGGAGTGTGGAGCTCTCAGCTGCAGCCTGAAGTCCAAGTGAGCTGCTCTCAAACCTGGTTTTGTGTCTTAAATATCGTGGGACCTCAAGTCTTCATCTGCTCTTGGCCTTACACTCCACTGCTCTTCTGTGGTTGTGAAAYTGGGGCTGATGCCACCCTATGAGAGATGCTGGGAGTCTGAGTGAACTTTCGAGGAGCCAGGAACGAGTTTATTGCTAACACACCACAGTGCATTGCCCCTCTTTCCACTGATTTACGG